CACAAAAAAGTGGGTTTTCCCTTTTACATCGACGTGCCCCCTTCAAATTAAACCCCTCCCCCCTTTCATATCAGAGTCACCCTTTGCACCAGGAGCCCCTCTTTCACATCCGAAGCCCCTCTTTCATATCAGAGTTCAACCTTTTTGTCACAGCACCCTTTAAAAGTATGTAAAAGCTCAAGGTGCCCCAGTCTAAAATGTCATAGAATTTAAGGAGGACCCTACGCAAAGACACACAAAAAAGTGGGTTTTCCCTTTTTTGTCTGCAACCCCCCTCTGCCAATCCCTGCACTGGCTTCCAATAGCCCAAAGGATAAAATTCAAAATATTAACAATCAGTTACAAAGCCATTCACAACTCTGCCCCCGGCTATATCTCAAACCTGGTCTCAAAGTATCACCCTAACCGTCGGCTCCGCTCTTCCCAAGACCTCCTGCTTCCCAGCTCCTTTGTCAACTTCTCCCATGCTCGCCTCCAGGACTTCTCTAGAGTCTCTCCCATCCTCTGGAATTCTTTACCCCAACCTGTCCGTCTGTCGCCCACCTTGACTGCCTTTAGGCGTTCCCTAAAGACTCATCTCTTCAGGGAAACCTATCCCACCTCTACCTAACCGCTCGACCATCACGTTCTCAAACAATTCATCCCCACGCAGCTCCCTCCTCATGTATTGTAAGCCCTCAGGGGCAGGGTCCTCCTTACCACCTTGTCTTGAATTGTATTGTGATTGAAATGTCTGCCCTATATTGTAAAGCGTTGCACAAACTGTTGGCGCTATATAAATCCTGTATAATAATAATACACCTAAATGGGAGCACACACACTCATTCATGAATGGCAAGGGTGCAATATTATAACAACTTAAAAGTAGAGATTCAGTTCTCTTTAAAGGGTTAGTTCACCTTTACCCCATGCATTTCATGGTCCCCATACCATTTCAAAACACTGCACGTTTTTTTGTTTTAAATAAAAGCTTCTTTTGAATGGCCTACATGTGTAGGCCTTTCCCAAGCCTGCCACAAAAACCCCTTGGTACGTGACCACTACCCCCATCATTCCTCATTGGAAGCATGCATGCCCCCAAACTGCAGGAAGGAGCAATCTGACTTGTTTAAAACTCATGCATGCACAGTGTGCTTTCTCTCCCTCCATCGCAAACCACTGATCTCAGTTGCTTCTGCCACAGAGGGATGACAGTGTTCATGATGTGCTGTGGGACGGGGAGGAGGGGGGGTCAAGTCTGCCTAGATGGCAGGACGGCTTAGGGGTGGGTTTGCCTACCTGGGAATTTTTCTGACAGGCTTGGAAGAGGCAGTGCAGGACCCATAAATATGCCATTCACAGGGGGCTTCTGTGTAGTTTTTTTTTAATGTACTGGGGACCATGAAATGAATGGGAATTATTTTTTGTAAAGGTTAACTAATCCTTTAAGCTTTTAGCACCAATTGTATCTGTTTTCACAACAACAAAACCTTGCTGGACATGTATTGATTATCAATATCCTACACCTGTGTCTCTTTGCTTTTATGCATTACTTTTTGCTGGCAGTCTGTTTCAGAATCCTCTACAAAAGCATCAAAAGTGCTGTTTATATGGAGGTGTAATAGCAATAAGTAGGCACAGTAATAACTGGAAGTTGTGCATAGTGACGGTGACACTAAAAACTGTTCTGATAGATATTTTGTAGCTGCTGATGAAAATGATTTTAGCACTCTTACCCTAAAGTTCACACCTCAACATGTGCTGCTTTCCTGAGAAGTTGCTTTAGCATGTGTGTAATATGTGATCTTATCTCAACTTCCTTCCTCTGTACAGCTCACTTGTTCACTATGAGGGTGAATATATAATGGTGAAACTGACAGCTCAGGCTGTAGTACAGCAGGAAAATTTGGGTACCTAGCCTGATGGTAGGAAAATGACCTACTTTACAATAATAAAGCAACATATGTCACTGATTTAAGTGTACTTTATTTGCATAAAAAATTACAAAACAAAACAAAACAAAATCTGGTCAAATATTAGTTGCCTACATATACAATCTTATATTTCTCTGTAAAATTTACACCAAGTCACAATGAAAGTTTAGGCATTAGCCTATGTCAGTTTTTCTCAACCTTTTTGTCACAGCACCCTTTAAAAGTATGTAAAAGCTCAAGGTGCCCCAGTCTAAAATGTCATAGAATTTAAGGAGGACCCTACGCAAAGACACACAAAAAAGTGGGTTTTCCCTTTTACATCGACGTGCCCCCTTCAAATTAAACCCCTCCCCCCTTTCATATCAGAGTCACCCTTTGCACCAGGAGCCCCTCTTTCACATCCGAAGCCCCTCTTTCATATCAGAGTTCAACCTTTTTGTCACAGCACCCTTTAAAAGTATGTAAAAGCTCAAGGTGCCCCAGTCTAAAATGTCATAGAATTTAAGGAGGACCCTACGCAAAGACACACAAAAAAGTGGGTTTTCCCTTTTACATCGACGTGCCCCCTTCAAATTAAACCCCTCCCCCCTTTCATATCAGAGTCACCCTTTGCATCAGGAGCCCCCCTTTCACATCCGAAGCCCCTCTTTCATATCAGAGTTCCCCTTTACATCAGGACCCCCCTTCACTATAGTCTTCATTCCCCCTTCTCATCACAGTCCCACTACCACAAAATTTTGAGGCACTCCTGAGAAAGCCAGAAGGCACACCAATATTTTAAAGCTTAAAAGAAAGTGACTGGCTCCCATCATTGCAAACATCCAGAGACAAGAACTTCACCTTGAGATCAATGTGCCTGGAACATTTTATGCCAAGTATGTGGGACTGAAACATTCATATTGTAGCTGTTGGGTAGATGAAGAGTTATATTCCTTAAAATTATATCTGCCTGGTTACCAATAGCACTACACAATCGACAATTCCCCAGGAAAATTGTCCTACTAAGCAGTAAAGTAAAAAGGACCTTCCTACTTTGTAATTGTGCTTCTGGGTTTAGTACATTAACTAAATGTGCATGACCCTAGAGGTGCCTGCCATAAGACCCTATGGACCCTGGCAGAAACCACAGGTTGCACATTACATTTTAGTAGTTAGCAGTCTTCTGTATTGTAAAGCAACAATATAAGCTAAAAATTCACCCTCAAAGCACCGAGGTTTCATTGTGGCCCAGCACTGACCTCCTACATACTGCTGGTATGAAAGTGCCTTTTATTTTGTCCATTGTTCAAGAGGTGTGTGACACAATTGCTATTTAACGTGACTAAATGGGAGCACAATGAGGACACTCAATAACTTTCCATTCACCAGATACATTAGTTATGCATTTTTTATTATTTATAATGCAATCATTTTAAAATAGGCACGTTGTACATAGGGATGTCTGCTACTATTGCAAATACTTGGCAAAAGACTGCAGGAGCATGATACCTCTGAGCTTTTTTCAGTAATATAAAATAGTTGAATTGCTTGGGTTTGGATATGCAGTACTGCAGGTTTTTTTTACATGCAGTATAACATGCAGCAGATAATCCTAGCTAAAATGGAGCTTTATGCATCACATCTCTTAAAGTGAGAAATGTGTGTGTGTGTGTGTGTTGCACTATAGCAGTCAAAATATTCCTTTGATCCTGCATACAGTTGTGATTTTAGATATTTTGATAAAATAGTGGTCTTTATACTTTTAAAAATGTCTGAAAAGTGCACTGTAGGCGAAGCAACAAATAATATATTTTCTTTCATTTCTTAAAGTAAGTGTCAGTAAACTCAAAATGTTCCTTAGTGTATATTTCTTTAAAAGTATGATTTCTACCTTTCTGCAGAAGCTTTTCCTCATGCAACGTTTCGTTAGTAGTAAATACCTGGTTGATCCTTCCTTTAAATATCATGCTTGGGGGTCCCCTTAAACTGCCTGTAAAGTGGTGCATCTGTACAATGTATAGAACCTGCTGCAGCAAAAAGTGACAAAAAATTGACATGCTCAGCATGTTCGGCCGACCCGAAGTGCAGAAGGAGTTCGACTCAGCTGATCAGCAGTGGGCGGGTGCAATAGCTAGTTTGCTATTGGCTATTGCAAATTGAAATAGCCAATAGGAATCTAGCAATGCATTCCTTTGGTGAAAAGTTTTTATTTTTTTCATTCTGACGACAGCCAACGGCTCCATGTCAGAATAAAAAGAAAAAGCAGTATTACTCTCCTGGGCGGCCGGGAGCGGAAGAGAGTTGGGCTGTCTGGAGATCAGAGTCCCTGGTTAGCTTGTAACCAGGGACGCTGATCTCTCTGCAAGTGGGATGACGGCTGGTTCCGGCCAGCTGTCAGAAGCAGGCTGTCGGCCGGCCACTCGGCCAGCTTCGTCTTTCAACTCAGCTCAGTCGAACCGAGGCATATGCCTTCGGCTCGACTGAGCCGCTCGGCCGACTTCGGGAGCTGTACGGGCTATAGTGAATAGCCCGTACAGCAGCCCTTCGGTTCTACTGAACCGAAGGGGTCCTGGGGCCGAAGCTAGCCGAAGGATCAGCCGAAGCTGTGGCTAGATCCTTCTGCAGCTTTGTGAATAGACCCCTATGTATTATTGTAGCAGAGACAAACCAGGGCTCCTGCCCTGACGGCAGTGTGGCAGTGCTATGTAAATCTCACAACTGGATGGACAGAAATTCCTCTGGCAGGTAAAACAACTCCCTTATATGTATTTGATCTGAGTATTTAGCTGTTGCCCAGAGTTCGGCCTTTAGATCCTGGTGCTGAGAATAAACAAACAGCCAGCTCCTCAGTGTCCCCATAGAACTGCATTACTACTAAGGGTTACTGGTAAAAAATGGGGGACCAAAAAGAAATAGTAGAACCCCTTAGAAAGGGCTACCCAAAACAAAATTCTCTCCTCCGGCTATCTCAGAAATGGCCCTGAATCATGCACTCAAGGATAATAGGCTTTGCCAGTAAATCCCTTCTTGCAATCTGTTGACTACCGGTAACTTTAAAGTGCAAGCTCATAAATTAACTATATCACTCAAACCTACTCTCCATTACAGGATCCCCCTGAAGAAGTTCCAGTCAATCAGACATACTCTGAGTGAACACATGACCATAGAGGAACTCAGAAGCAGATCAGTGGAAAATGAAGTTCTGAACCAAAGGCTGGAACAGGTCCCTGAAAAACTCATCAACTACTTGGATGTAAGCAATACTGAAAATGCATAACACAAAATATTCTTCCATAGTATTTATTTTTCCTTTCATAAAGTATTAACAAATTGTATAGCTGTTCAAAGAGAACACTGAACCATATAATATCAGTCCTTGTCCCCAAAGAGCTTTACAATCTAAAATCCCTTTCACAGATACAGTAGGGCCAGTCTGGGTGGAAACGAAATAGCTTCTGTATGATTCTTGTATTGTTGGGGGAAGCCAGAGAACCCAGAGAAAACACATGCAAACATGATGAGAACATTCAAACCTTATGCATACTGAGCTTAGTGGAACAGCTCCCCAGTCCACTCCAGTCCTTGGTGCACTCCTAAATGACTTAAAGTGATATTAAAGTCAAAAGGATTTTAAGCTATTTCAAATGGTGATGAAAATCAATGGATGCTGCTTCTTGATGGTTAAAAGGTTTAGTTTCCTGCAGAATCAGCTGGTCCACTAAACACTGGTCCTGACTTCCTGTTTTAGAGTGATTCCTTTCTCAAGCAGAGTGCTATGCAGTCACCCTTATGTGTGCTAGTAAGCTGTATGTGTCTCAACAAACACACAGACACAGCAAATCGAGCTATCCAGAGTCCCCCCCGGGTCCCCTCTCCTCCCTTCTCTAAGCTAGTAGATGAACAGTTGCTAGTGTCTGCAAAGTTCCTTGTGATCTTGTACTGGACAGGAAGTTCTGAAAAGCTGAGCTGAGAGACTTGGAAGCAGCCATTCAAAGACATGATGATTGTAAGTGTTTGGGCAAAAATGTAAAGCATTGCTTTGCTGGGCAATATATATGTGTTTGATCTGGATTCTTTATTAAAAGAACGTTTGAGAGTTTAATACTACTTTAGTCACATCGGCCAGTTAGACTAGAGTGGGTTTTTGCTAGACATGTGCAATTTGTTTAGTTCTGAATGAATTTGTACGAATTTCTGTAAATTCAGACATTTGGATGCATCCAAATTTCTGAATGACAGAAATAACTAATCCGAATGTTTGATAATGAAATCCGGATATTTACGAATTTCTTTTGGAACGAAACACAACAAGCAGGAGATGTACCGATCTCTGGCTTCTCTCTTTGTTGACATTTTGGAATTATATCCCGAATGAAAACAAAGTAACATAATATTGTTATAAAATGTATAGAAAGAAAGAGGCTGAGAGATCTGTGTTATTCTGTAACAGTTATCTACTTCTTTGGACACTTCCATCCCGAATGTAAAGAATCTGACAGATGCCACAGAATACACAAAAGTGTTTAACTGTTCACAGAAATAATAATATAAAAATAAACTGTGTGGGGTCCCCCCGAACTCATACGCCAAAAAAATAAATGTGGGGGTCCCCCTAAATCCCACTTAATCCAGGCAGCAGCCTGGCAGGGCAGGAAAGGGGAGGACAAGTGAGCGCCCCCTCCACCATACCAGGCCACATGCCCTCAACATTGGGAGGGCCTCTTCCCCACAACCCTGGACTGGTGGTTGTGGGGGTCTGCGGGCAGGGGGGGTCATCTGCATCTGGGTAACCCAGATGCTGCCCCCCCTTGTCAATGAGTAAGGGGTACTTGCACACCAACTCATTCACTAAACGGTTAAATAAAATGTAAATAAACATACCACACTTTAGAACAATTTACTTTAATTGAACAAAAAACACAACACGAGTGTTTGACAATTCCTTTATTGAAAAAAAAATGTTTTAAATGTCCGACGAAGTCATTCCAGCGTTAGTCGACAAATGAATAAAGATGTCAATCAGCAGAGTAGCAGACCTGAGAGAGAAAGTAATTTTTCAGGTCCCTTCTGACGTCAGGCAGTGGGCAGAGCATTAGCCAGCCTGCTATTGGCTATTTAAATTTTAAATAGCCAATAGCAGGCTTTTGTTGATACATACTACCCGAGTTAAACATTGCATCGGGGAGTTGTTTTGGGTTTTTTCCATTTGTCGGCTGATGCTGGAATGACTTTGTGGGACATTTTTTTTCAAATAAAGGAACTGTCAAAAACTTGTTTGTGTTTTTTGTTCAAATAAAGGATTTTTTGTAAGGTGTGGTGTGTTTATTTACATTTTATTTAACCCTTTACAAGTACCCCTTTATGAAAGGGGGTAACCAGATGCAGATGAGCCCCCCTGCCCGAAGACCCCCACAAGCACCTGGCCAGGGTTGTGGGGAAGAGACCCTTGCCCCCATCGGTATGGGGGCAAGGTGCTTTTCCGGTGGGTTCTTCTCTGGAAAAGCACCCTCCCAATGCCGACGGCATCAGGCCTGGTATGGTGGAGGGGGGAGGACGCTCGCTCATCCCCCCCCTTTCCTACACTGCCAGGTTGCTTCCTGTGTTAAGGGTCTAGTAAGGGATTTTAGGGGGCACCCCACTTTTTTTTTTAAATGTTTGGCGTTGGGGTCCTTAAAATTCCAACCAGAACTAAAGGGTTTTTTTTGTTTCTGTGGAGTGTCAAAAGTTCAAAAGAAACAAAATAAACATTTAATGTCACTTTCCTGCAATACATTTCCGTTCCTAATGATCATTTAACTCATCCGAAATTAACGAAAATTCGGATTAATCAGAATTTGAATGCCGCAACAAATTGACTTTCAGACACGAATCCCGAAAAACGAAATAACAAAACATCCAAAACTAAACTAAACTAATTGTTTGCCGGCTTAGATGTCTAGTTTTTGCAATGTATAGCTTCTGTTGGACATTATATCACAGCCAGGAATAATCTCTGTCCTGTTTTATTACCAATAGAAATATCCCCCCTGCATTCCATACAGTTGAATCCCTTCTGTTCAACTCCATGGGCCAATGGGCTAATGCCTTCTGTTCAATTCCTGACAAAGGGACTTCCCAAAATGTTTCATTTATGTATATTATGCTGCAAGAACGTTAATAGAGATGACATTCTGAAGCAGACTAGTGTGTGAACAACTTGTCTTTTACTGTTTTATTAGCAACCACAATGGCAAAAAAAAAAATCTTATATTCAAGTGGTCCTGTCAGTTTGTAGTATACCCAGAAGCACAGAGTATCCAGCATTATCTAGCTAAATACATTTGATTAAAGTGAATATATATATATATATATATATAGATATAGTTGGCTTGATCAGGCTGATCAAGGCTTGGGAACAGGCAGGAGAAGAATGTGCAGCTAAGCCTCAATAAACTATAATAGGACATCCCTTTTAATTATTATTAGCCAAGGTGTCCATTTACAACCAGTTAGTTCTTCTCAAAGACACTGTTAGGTCCTGGGCAAAGTTAGGATAATGTCATGTTCTGGTCTGTGGTCTGCATTTTTTCTTTTAGTTGTATATGTGAAGGTGGTAGCCCAAAAACGCAATGTGAAGTCACAGAGATAGATATTCTGTCAGACAGACATTGTGCTAATAACTTCAATTCCTTTAATCTTTACTTTTTACACCAGTTTTGAGGGAAGTCTAAATATGACTGTTCAGTTCAATACCACACCTAGGGCACACCTTAGTCAACACTAATTTACCAAACTGGTCTGACACACCCGTTACCTTTCCTACAATACAAGTCTGTATGAGGACACTTGTGATGATGAGGGGTGTTGTTTTTACTCAGCTATGCTAGCACAGAGCACTCGAGTGAGAGAGCAGAAGGCACATTTCTGTTGAGAGAAAAATTTATTTAAGGCATTTCTAAATAAATAAAATCACCAAAATCAAACACATGCGTGACTTTAACAACATAAAACATTGTTGTGAGACTTAAATTCGGCTTCAAATTATGTTTTCAATCAATATGTAACTGCACTAAAGTTTGTTTTATATTTACAAGAAAATACCTGGTGTTCCACTTCAACTTTTTATTTACCAATCCAGTAATGGTACTTCCCAGAGCTCACCTCAGGCGACCTGAGTCCACACCTCCTAATTAATGAGTTTAACAAATATTTACAATATCACAATATAAATATTGTAAATATTTGTTAAACTATTTATTTACAATGACAGCATCATAACATGATAAACAAGGCCAATGTATTTGCCAATCTTCATCTACCCTCATTATGCTTATTAGTCAGCAGCTCCAGGCTCCCAAAAAGAGTCAGCAGCTCCAGGCTCCCAAAAAAGATGTTCACAACAAAATGACAGCCTAGTTGAAGCCATGTATATTTTGTCCCCTTGCAGGCCCAGTACTATGGTGAAATCTCCGTTGGAACCCCTCCACAGAATTTTACTGTCATTTTTGACACAGGTTCCTCTAACCTCTGGGTGCCGTCCGTCCGCTGCTCCTTCTTTGACATCGCCTGCTGTGAGTAACAAAACAAACACAAGTGCCATCTCCGGCACCTTTGGGTCATGTTTAGTACGGTAATTCTCTTCTAGGCAAACTCGTCTGATGCCTTCATTTATTAATGAATTATCTATTTACTGAGCCTAATCAGTGCCATCAATTGTGCTTAGGAATGTCTGAGATCTCCAGGGGCCAATTAAACCTGATCTCCGTGTAGAAATACTTAGGAGGTATTCACCTTCATATTAGTTACTCTGCATATTATTATGATCTTACAAGTCTGCATGGGGAATAGATCATCTGTACGAGCCACAGGGGCCACTTCACAGAGCCAGCGCTGACTTCAGTCAGGAACTTGGCCTTGCATCTCTCTCTGTCTGATCTATGATTGTTTAGATATATTAATCAGATACTATCCTGCGGTTCATTTGAATTCTATTTCAATGGTGCAGCCTTTGCAAAAAAAAATTTATTGAAGGAAACACAGGATATCAAAGTGCGCAAACTCCTTCGGTGCCCTGTTCTCCTTAGTAAGCATACCTCTGAACTTCCTCATATGAGAAAGAGGGACACCTTGCAACACAAAGAGGGGCATTTATCAAAATTGGAGCAGACAAAAACTGGAGCAGATGTGCATGGCAACCAATCAGTTTCTCTTTTCAGTATGTTAAGTTAAGATTTGAAAATGAAAGAGAGAAGCTGATTGGTTGCCATGCACAGCTGCTCCAGATTTTGTCTGCTCCAGTTTTGATACAATTCCCCCCAATGTATTTAAGCAAAGGGTGCACCTCCTACCACACCCCAGTTGCCAAAAATGATTAGTTAAACCCAGAATAATTTTTTTTTTCACCATTACTTTTCCTTTTACTGGCTTTTCAAAATAGCAAACAAGAAAATTAAGAAATAAGATGACAGTTTTAGTGTAGAATAATAAATTCGGTAGATAAATAGAACCTGTTCATAGATATCTGTACATCAGACAAAAAAGATGGACAACTGAGGAGGAAAGAGGGACCGAGGCGTGTGATTCTGAATGAGGGACAGTCCCTTCAAATGAGGGACAGTTGGGAGGTATGAGTAATGTCTACATTAAAAACTCAATCTGGAGTCAGAAACCAAATGGCTTCTTGCAGGGGAAACTTTTCGGTATAACTAACCTGCTATTTCTTATACTGACATAAAGGATAGGTGTTTATTATGGTAAAATCAAGGATTCAAGAAAGCCTCATCACTCCCTAATTAAAAAGTTAAATACGTTCACAGACCTTGGACGCACAGAGATCATGGATCAGTACTACAAGGTGCATAAAGACGGATGATGTTTATAGTCTTCACTGGCACTATCCATAAAGTATAATGAGCCATCTACAGAACTATTGTACTCGGCATTTGAAGGTTATTGTCCCCTACGATGCTCCTGCATGCATATAGGCCTTCCATGACCTACAGTATATCTAAATCCAACTTTTCTATTTTATAGAATAGGAAGGGGAGAAAACCAGGGGTAGGTAATCTTGGCACTCCAGCTGTGGTGAAACTATCAATTCCATCATCTCTCTGCCTCTGGGAGTCATGTCTGTGGCTGCCAGAGTCTTACAATGCCTCATGGGATTTGTAGTTACACAACGGCTGGAGTGTAACAAGAGGTTTAAGGTGCCCACACACCTTGCAATAATCTGTCGATAATCGCGGTAAATCCCGCGATCGTACGATTATCGTAAAGGGGTGTGGAAGCTGTGCGACCTCTACTACTGTAAGGTCGCACAACTTTTATCTTAGGAACATGTTCGAAAACCCGCCGAGCATCGTACGATGTTCGGCGGGTGTGTAGCATGTTCGTAAGATATAAGCCGGCATTGCGGTCATCGGAAGCCCGCCCCTCAGGGGGGTGCGGCTTGCGATCATTGCAAGTATGATATGCCTGTCCAAGATAGGCAGATCATACGTTTTTTTAATTACCTTACAACCCTCGTTGTAAGTTGTGTGCCCAGCCTTACACTTGCTTCTTCCACATTGTTCATAGCAGTGCCTCCTCGAGGATGAAAAAGGTGGAACAGACAATCTGAAATGTAGGATTTTCCTTTGAGAAAGACCTCAAGAATGCAGGCAGGAAAAATGCAACATTGTTTTATGCTTCTGAATGCAGCTCTATTTCAGCCATTGTTTCCATGCACAGTGCCATTTAGATCCATATGTTAGAGCAGCCCCATGCCTTGCTAGTGAAGGTGGCATTAGGTGGCATCTAATCTTTGAATCAGCATACCTGGAAAATTTTTACACTTATTCAGTAAGTCAGCAAAAGATAAAAAAATTATATTCAGCTTGCAATAGCCCATTAGCAGAAAGTTGATTTCATGCTAGTTGCTATGGGTCATTACACTTTTTCATATCATAGAAGCTTGATTTAAAGGGGTTCTAAACCCTCACGTTTTTTTGCCTATATCTACTGCTATCAAGCAGTAGATATAGGCAAACAGTTTAAAAAAAACAAAACAGCGGTTTAAACTTACCTTTTTTTGTTTGCGCGTTCCTGCTCGAAAAAACGAAACTGTTCGGGCGGCCGCAAAGCATCTTGGGAGACGAGCAGAGATGCAAGGTAAGTGCATGGACGCGTGCACCTGCATGCAGACACCGCTGAATCGGAGAGACAGAGCAGTCAGCGCTGGATCGGAGAGACAGAGCACCGCTGGAGGGCCAGATGAAAACATCAGGAAAGAAGAAGAAGGTCGGAATAAGAGACATCATTTAAGGTAAGTGCTAACATTAACATGGGGGGAGGGGAAAAGAAATTTGACTTTAATGTCACTTTAAGTTTGTCATGTTAGAATGTTGCTGTTTTCCTATTGCATGTTGTAGGGTTTCACCGAAAATACAATTCTGGGGCATCCAGCACCTTTAAAAAGAACGACACAACATTCTCAATTCACTATGGAACCGGGAGCCTTGAAGGATTCTTAAGCCAAGATACAGTCACTGTAAGTTTACACTCATGTCTATTATAAAAAGTGTTGTGCAATATATTCTCAATTTTTTGTGCCAAACTATAATGGAATGTCTGTGCAAATAAAAGCCCAACACATTTTAATTTAGGCCAAGATACACAAATAATCTCAGTCTTTTAGGTTCAGTATAAACCAGTGAATGCTCACATTACACTGACTTCACACACACAGATAGAAGCCTTCTGTGCAATAGAAATGTATATGGCTTAACCAGTGCTATGATTTTTCCAACAAACGTACCGCACCTGAGACTGTACAACCCAACAATCAGGTGTATGTCCCAGTATTGTATATCTGTGTGCATGCATGTGTTTACACAAATACTGACCTATACCTGAGCCCAACCACATACAGCCATTGGTTTGTATAGGCAGCTGTTCACAGAAGCTGTGGCGCCCGCGTGGAGTGGAAAAATACACCCAATGTTTGCATTGTATGTCCCCAGGCACCCGTGTGCATGAGGCCTTAGACTACAGCTGGCCATACATCAGTAGAATTTTGAAAATGTCCTTTTCAGAATGTTAATTCCATTTTCTAATAGGTAATGGGGTTAAATTGATGATCAGCATTGACCAAAGTGATAAAACAAATTGAACGAGCAGGATGAAAATGGACAAGACAAGACTTTTGTTTTTCTCTTTTTAGTTTAGGATAGAGTAGGGAGGTTTTAAAACCCTTGTTATATATTTATTGCTGGGTCTAAGTATGAGACACTAGATCTCCTGCTGGAAAAACTTAATATTGTGGAACTAGCTTCAGTGAGGCTGCTCAAATGTTCCTCAAGACCCCCAACAAAAGCTGAGAGAAGTCCAGATATGTAAAAAGGCAGTCAAGGCACCACACCAATGGTTACAGACTGCAGAATGGGATGAAACAGCCATCACATTTCGGGGGTTCAGGAACTCTTCTTTATCTGCGCTTATCTACTGTGTAACCTCGAAATGACTGGACTCAGTACATTTTAAAAGTATGTATAGATGCTGACATCACTAGAAACACATCAAACAGGACTGCAAGTGGCATTTGTTTTCCATATTTTTATTCCTTTGAACCTATTCCTTTGAACCTAGGCACAGTTTATAAATGTTCTTAACAAGCAGTAAAACAGCTTTGAAGAGTTAATTCACCTTTTCATAAAAAATGAACTCAGAACATCCTACTCACCTCCTTTCCCCCAGTCCCCACTGCACTTATCTGTAATGATGACCCTTGTCCACCATCCATGCCAGCCTGTATATTTGTCCCGGCACTTGAAAACTCACAACACACACATCTGTCAGCCACGCCATACTGTTTAACTGTATGGTACTTGAAAATTTCACTACACATTCCCAGAGGCTGTATAGCAAAATGATGCTTATACTGGGAAGCAGTGAGAGAGCAATGAGCATTTCTTCTGAGCCTTCTTTCTGCTGGGATGGCGTCACCATACTATCCAATTACCACTCACCAATGCAAGCTGTATGTTGCTATACAGCCTCCAGGGCTATGTAGTGAAATGTTCAAGTAACATACAATTAAACATTATGGCGTGGGTGACAGATGCGTGTGTTGTGAGTTAGTTCACCTTTTTTGCGAAAAGATTAACTAACCCTTTAAAAGAAGCTACCCTCACAGCTCTAGTTGCTTGTACTCTGAATTAAATAATTCTCAAAGATCACCACAAAGACCCAGAGTCAATTACCAACAGCTTGCAAACACCTGCTGTGGGTTTACAATAAATATTTATATCCTATGCTCCTCAACTTCATCTAGTGGCCCTAATCTAGTCTGCAAACTACATATCCCAGTCTCACTCAAGCATGCTAATGTAGACCAGTAATCCAGACAAAGGCAGAGGGGGTATGATGGATCACAGACCAATAGCCCATACATGGGGGGCATGATGCATCACAGACCAGTAGTCCAGACATAGGTGGGGGCATAACGGCTCACTTCTGCCAGACCACTGGTCCCATAGGCAGCACCATGCTCCAATCAGCCATTGGTCTGACCCATGGGGTAGTTTCCTGGCAGGACAATGGCAATACATACAAGAAAGTTGAGGTGAGACAATGCAATCCTTTTTGATTCATGTACCCTAAATTAATCGCAAAGGTTTTCCAAGAAGGTTCTATTGGGATTACAAGAAAGCTTCAGGCAAAAGGACCAAGAATTTAGTCATAAACATGCATTTAGAAGAACCATTTACCATCACCTACTGTCCAAGTCTTTTTAGAAGAAAGAAAAATGTTCCATACATTTTTAGGCTTGGCGGGAAATGAGTTATCAGACATTATCACCATTGATGTAGGTTTTAGCCAGGATTCACACCTGTGTGAAGTGACATTGCACATACGTTGCAGCACATTTTAAAACTTTTCATGTGAATGGGCTGCCTACCACATCTAACTACATTGTGTTGTGGTGTAATTCAATCGATGTGCAATGGCTAGGTGTCAGGATCCAGAGCACCCCCAGGTGGCACTGGAGTCAGGTCCTGCAGTTCCTGTACTCGCCTGCGGGTGTCTCCAGCAACCAGGAACTGTCAGAAACCAGACCACCACAGGGTGGTGCTGGATCCTGCAGCTCCAGTACTCTCCTGCGGGTGTGCCCCAGCTGCTAGTGATCATCCCATCACCTGGTGCTTCCTGGGAAGGTATATAGGCCGTCCCTGCAGTCAGGACGTCGGCTCAGTATTTCGTCGCCTTCCCCTGACTGAGTCCCGTGTCCTGAGCCCTGTACCCTGAGCCCTGAGCCCTGTACCCTGAGCCCTGTACCCTGTACCCTGCAACCTGTAAACCCGTTACCCGTCTGCAGTCCTGAACCTGTTACCCGTCAGCAGTCCTGAGCCTCACACCTGTATGCAGCCCTGAACCCTTCCTTGTAACCAGTTCCTGGATCCTGAGCCCTGATACCTGCTTTACAGTTCCCAGCCCTGTTCCCATTTGCTGTTCCCTCTTGATGCAGGTGTGTTTTCATTCTATTTGAGTTTTCTCTCTGCTTGTGTTAGATTGTGGGTGTAGGTGGGGTTTGTGGCTTTCCTGTTGCTGTGTACCAATAAACTGTATGCACATACCCTATCCAGTGTGGTCACATTAATTTGGTCTTCTTGCGTCGGTACCTGCATGTGGTGTGGGGATACCTGTGCACGGTACCCTGACACTAGGTGCATTTGGGTGCCATTAGGTAATAACATTGTTACACGCAGTTTCACGTGATGCGGGAATACACACATTATCACATTGCATAGATTTGAACTGGGGCTTAGACAACATAATAACCTTTATACAAATCACTTCCATCTGGAACTGAACCTTTGCACTATCAACACTCAGAAAACATTAAATAGAAAAAGGAGACATGTGCCACTTGTTTAGTTCCGAATTGAAATTTGGACAGATTTTGGCATATTCGGATGCATCCGAATTTCCTAATGAATCCGAACATATCAGAATTTTTGATATATTGATATTGATACATTTTGGATTCATTCAAAATTTTTTCCGAATGTCATTCTGAATCAATTTATGTTATTAAAAGTAAAAATAATAATGGTATTAAAAGAAAGTGTGGCGCCCCCTCCCCAATTTATACCAGACCCTTTAGGTCTGATCCAGTGGTTGTGGGGGTCTGTGGACAGGAGGGCTTATAGGAATCTGGGTACCCCCTTTCATAAAGGAGACACCCAGATGTCACCCTCCCTTGTAAATTAGTAAGGGGTAGTTGTTTCCCCTACTCATTCACCAAATAAAGTTAAAAAAATCCAAAATGAAGCGAACCAAATTTTTTGCCAGCTTACATGTCTAAAAATAAGTAAAATTCAGTGTGCAGGTAGTGCTGCAGCTTTCTGAAGCCAGTAAAAGTAACCTGATATTATGTGAGTTTACTAATGTATTTTATCCAAATTTGAGTTTTTTTCTGCAGTGCTGCAAACCTCTGAGGCACGGTACTGGTCTCTGTGGCCAGCGCTAGTTTCCTATAATTAAATAAAGATGGATATTTTCTTCCAAGGCTGAGGTGGTAAAAATTACAATGGTCGGCTGCCTGTCATGCATTATTAATTTTAATCATTATGCTACATGATATGCTTTAGCAGCTTCAGAATAAAACACGGTTTGAAACATTGTTTTCTTAGCCAAGAAGCTATTTAGAATAAACACTGGTGAAGAAATGTCGTTAAATTAGAAAAATATGAGGGGGATGTTGCACTTTTGACTTAAACCACCTGACAATTTTATATATCATTCACGGACTGTATTGATGACATTTCTGTGTTGAGGTCCTGGGTCTGTACACCTGCTATGGCCATTATGAGGGTTCCCACTCTGCCTGTTGTTTGAATTTTATTTCATTTTATTTTATTAACAATGCAACAGGAGGAGCTAAAGCAAAGAGGGATGGGAACACCAAAAACTCTCAAATGGACTGAAGTCAGGAATTAGTGCTCGGAGATCTCATTGTTGGAGTATCGGAGCCACATAAGAAGTCAGGGGCTGGCCTAGCCTATTATTACTGAAATACCACATTGGCTGTGATCACCCATGTAAAGTATATACAGTATATATATTAGGGCTGCGGAAATTAACGATTAATTCCTCGATTAATCGTTATTTATTTTGATCGATTAAAAATCTTTTGATCGGTACACACCTCTCCGCCGGCTTCCAGGTATATATAATGCTTTTGTGACATCAACATTGTAATAGGAATACATACTAGAGTTGTTTTTCATAATGCAATCAAAGCTTACTTGAAATAAATCCCTTTTATGCAGTGAGTGCTTCTTCTGTCTGCCCATCACTTCCAGCAACTTCCTGAATTTCCAGTGTACTTTGCATCTCTTTCCCGGTATCTTGATGTGATGCAATCCCAATTTCTGAAGACTACATATCCCATCATGCATTGCTTCCAGCAAGCACTGATAATGTTACATTGTTTTGTTGTCGAGTTGTAAATCAGACAGCTGGAAGTGCATATTTACAGGGCTGAGT